AGAAGTGTTCCCAGACTGAGCAATTAGCCTTGAATCAAATATGGAGTTCTGGTTTTAAGCTTGATTGAAAACTTGAACACTCATGGATAGTTCAACAAAAAGCCTACTAGAAAGATGTATACTTAGGTTTGACTCTGCCACTCACAGAATAAAGTTCCCTTTTAGCGGTGTACTAAAGTGTTTCTTAGACTATAAATGTATATATGAATAAGCTGGCTATCTTATTAAATTGTAGATTATGATTAAATAAGTTGGAATAGTGGAATATAGATGCTGTATTTCTACCATGAGTCTATGTATGACAATGCCGGTGGTCCTGCCTGGACAGCCTTGAGTGACAAGGTCCTAAAAGATCATTGATAGAACACATTAAAATTGTATGTGCATATGAGAAAACACTGTAAACAGTAAAGTATAATATACAAAACTTTGTGTTGGTTAACAATATTTGAGAATTCAATTCAAATCATCATGAAAAAGTTGTAGTAGAGCAGATTAGTGCAGCTTTTATGTGTCAATTTCAAAACTAACTTTTGAAATGCCCAATCCTCTAGATTCTCTTCATTTTTTCTTTTTTAGAAAAATCAAGTCTGATGGGGAATTGGTAGGATAACACAGAGAGATATTCATTCTGAACAGTCGTGTTGTGTTTTGATTGATGAAAGATTTACTTCATATGACCATTCTGACCAAACATACACGTGGTTTTAGAGATGTGTTCAAGTAGATTCTGTGCCTGATTGACTCTATAAGTAGTTTCATTCAATTAAAATAGAAATAGAAAATTGCAAAGAGGAGAAGGGGGGGGGGCTGGAGAAAGGACTCTGGGGTGAAGAGTATGTACCGCTCTTACAGAGGGCCCAAGTTCAGTTCCCAGCACTTATGTTAGGAGACTCACAACTGCCTGTAACTCCAGTTCTGGGGGAATTCATCACTCTGGCTTTCAAGAGCATCTGTACTCACATGCACATACCCCCCAGAAAAACACATGGGTGATTAAAAACAAAATAAAAGTCTGAAAAAAGTAAAGAAGAGGTAAGTTAACTCTAAGAGTGTTGGCTACATGAAAGGATTACCATGAGGCCAAAAGTTAAAACTGAACAAAGACTTAAAGAGGTAGAGTACTTTTTATCACATGTGAGGCACCAGGTTCAGAACATACACACACACACACACACACACACACACACACACACACACACACACACACAACAAAACAAACAACAACATGAATGCAAGCTAAAGTTCTTGGACAAGAAATCAATTGTACAAATGCTTAGTTTTCATAAAACTGTTATTTTGTGCTGGTGTTGCAGTTTTCTAAAGGAAATAAAATTTATCCACATAATCACTGATTTATAAAACATTCTTTTGTTTATCTAAAATAATCAACTACTCCCTGTTCAAGAGTACATACATTCTTTCTGACACTGCAGTCCTACATTTTGATCAATTCTTCCTTATTGGGTGATCAGTTTGACTATGGGTAAATGACTTTCATTATATATCGGACTTATGTAGCAGATCCGTCCCATAAGCCAAATCCTTCTCAGTATCTTATACTTTGGACCAAAAAGGCACTCTATCACAGACCCTGATTATCAACACACTACATACTGCCATGACAAATCTCTTTTTAATGATTCTAGAGGCACTGTGATTAGAATTAAAACTCTGCATCAAAGATGCCAAATAATTATCAGATTCACCTTCACCTGAATTTTATACTTTGTCTTCCTGCTTCCTTGATTTTTTTTTATCATCTCTGACCTGCTTGTGGTGAGAGCCAGCCTCATTCACATTTCAAATGCCATAAGTTTGGTTTCATCAGAGAGAAAAGAAATGAGAAGACTGAAATTTGAACAATTGTGTGTCCTGCCAGTATTTTGTCTTTGAATAATAAATTAAAAATAATTCACTAATGCCAGTTACTAACAATCATTTATCCCAGTCCACACCAAGTCATGAAAATTTTAAATACAGAACAGCACTGAGAGACTCGGTTCTGAAAGCACTCAAGACACACCTGTTTGAGAAACATTCAAGGACACCAGAATCGCACACATGGTGGGGACTAGAGCACACACACACACACACACACACACACACACACACACACGAGAGAGAGA